GTAGACTTTCTGCTTACATTAATGAAGAAATAAAAGGAAGGGGGTCACAGAGCGGACCGTTTGGTTGGATGAGAAGTTCAAACAGAGATATAAAGAGAGAGAAGTTCCGTCACCTGGAACATCTTGGATACGTCCTCGGAATTGCGCTGCTGTGCCACATCACACAGCTTGGCGGTGATATCAATCCGCCTGCAGATATCCATGTCCACCTTCATTGCTTTTTCCTGGATCTTTGAGTCGAGATCGGTCATAGGCTGCGGGGGATATTTGGATATTATCTTCTCTTTCTATTATAATTGTACTTTTTGATATTAGCTATAAAAGCTTGTAGAAGAGTTATTGGGTTGAACTAGCCATGCATTGACACTGTCTTATATTTTTTTGGCTCAAAAAAACGCACTAGGTCTTATTTTCGGGGTAGGTCTTATTTTTTTTAATGTATAACAATCCAAAGTTAACGCAAATCCAAATTTAAAATCATCCAAAATGGCAAGGTTAATAATAGGGTGATCAGGGCACTCAGGGGTGCCGTACCTTTCCAAGAGCAATTTGGTAACCAATCGCTGGCCAGAATGAGCGAAACGCACTTTCACTATCGATTCCTCACAGAGTGATTTGGTATCACTCCTCCAGTGACAGGAGCCGGCGCTATAGAGGAGGCGTCGGCTTATGCGGCTCTGCTCCCTCCAGTGCCGCCTCGCTTCCTCTAGCGCTGGCTTCATTGGCACCGCTGATTCTCTCCCGCGGCTCTTCAAATTCCCCCTTGTGCCACCACCGGCCCTGGGAATGGTCACAACTAGGTCTTATTTTCGGGGTAGTTCTTATATTTTAGCAATTCCCAAAAAAAGTACTAGGTCTTATTTTCGGGGTAGGTCTTATTTTTGGGGAAACAGGGTAAGTTCATCATCTGCGCACAATGGTGCTATGGCAATGAATGCCACAGGATTAAACCTCCTGTTCAAGAAAGGAATCATTCCATGAACATGCAAATTGATCATATAATAGTGAAGACGGACTGCAGAAGGGTTGAGGAGCCGCAGCACTGAGCAATGATCATGGGAAAAAAATCCATTCACCACCAAAGATCTGACTCGATTTGGTGTGATCTAAAAATCAGACGATGAACCATTTGCCTGTATAGTTCATCCCTTGGTGCAAATAGTAAATCAGTTGTCAGTTGCATCCAAAAATGTTTGTCCTTCAAGATCCCTCAGTGTTGTCTACAAATTTTAAAAGGATGAGCTCACTCTGAAGTAATTTATCAATGATTGATTGACACTGGAGAGTTAGACCATCGAATGGTCCCTGAGGAACACCAGTGGACTCTGAACCTCAATTTCCAGGCCGGTAAACCGCACCTTAGCTAGGCTCCAAGGAAACGACCAAAAACAGCAGCGGATTAGTGGGGGGGG